CATACCTCATGTACCTACACCCCACAACAAAATGGGGTGGCTGAGAGAAAGAATCGTCATCTCTTGGAAACAGCACGATCCCTCATGCATCACATGAATGTTCCCAAACCCTKTTRGAGTGATGYRGTGCTTACTTCTTGCTTCTTGATTAATCGGATGCCCACGTCTATCCTTGATGGTCATTCTCCATTTACTACCTTGTTTCCCACCTTGTCTCTGTTTCCTCTTTCTCCTCGGGTATTTGGGTGTGTCTGCTTCGTCCATAATCTGGGCCCCGGGAACGACAAGTTAGATGCACGATCTCTTAAGTGCACCTTCCTTGGCTATTCTTGGACCCAGAAAGGGTATAAGTGTTACCATCCTAGTTCTCGACGTTCCTTTGAACGCCCACCTATCCGTCAAGTGTATACACATCGCCCACGTGTACCGGCTCCATCACCGTCGACAAATCCGGCAGTTGTCTCCACACCAGCCCCGAACCCAGTATCTGATCTTGATCTTCCCATTGCCTTGCGGAAAGGTAAACGCACTTGCACCCTTCATCCTATTTCTAATCATGTTTCACTCACTCACCTTTCCGCCTCCCATCGCCAGTTTATCTCTTTGTTATCCTCAGTTGTTGTTCCTAAGGATGTCCAAGAAGCCCTAGCCTCTCCAGGGTGGTGCCGTGCATTGGAAGAAGAGCTCTTAGCTCTACTTCATAATCATACTTGGGACCTCACCGCTCTTCCTCCTGGGAAGCAGGCTGTCGGTTGTAAGTGGGTTTATACTGTTAAGTATTTGCCTAATGGTAGTGTTGAGCGCCTGAAAGCTCGATTGGTTGCAAAAGGGTACTCCCAAACCTATGGTATTGACTACATAGAGACCTTCTCCCCAGTTGCTAAGATAGGGTCAGTTCGTGTTGTGATCTCTCTTGCAGCTATATATGATTAGCCCCTATATTAGCTTGATATCAAGAATGCCTTTTTGCATGGTGATTTGCTCGAGGAGGTCTACATGGAGTAACCACCAGGGTTTGTTGCTCAGGGGGAGGATGGTAAGGTATTCAGACTAAAGAAGGCTATATATGGGCTTAAACAATCTCCTCGAGCATGGTTTGGTAGGTTCAGTGAGGTGGTAAAGAAGTTTGGTATGAAACAGTGCCAAGTTGATCATTCC